ACCGGACAGTACCTCAATTTCAACTCTCACCATCCATACAGCTGTAAAGAAAGGGGTCGTCCGTTGCTTACAACACCGAGCAAAAGTCATAAGTGGCGATCCAGAGACGTTAGATAAAGAATTGGTCAGTATAAGTAGTACCCTACAACGTAACAACTACTCTGGGTACATGGCAGCAGTCCCCCAAAACTGGGATAGGCGGGTACAAGAGGTGGAGGACAACAACACTCAGAAAACAGTCTGCCTGCCTTATGTGAAGGGGTTATCAGAGAAAATGCAAAGGATCTGCGGTCCATATAACATCAGGACAACCTTCAAAAGCGTGACGACACTTCGCAGATATCTCTCCCGAGTAAGACACCCCATAGAGGAGAACATGACTAAAGACTGTGTGTACGCTATCCCATGCAGCTGCGGAAAGGAATATAAAGGGGAGACAGGCCGCCCCCTCAAGGTAAGGCTTCAAGAACACCAGAAAGCTGTAACACGAGGGGAAGTAGAAAAATCAGGCGTGGCTGACCATATATGGAGAGAGAAGGGAGATCACCGCCCTCTGTGGGATCAAGTTGAGATCATTGACAAGGAACAGCATTGGAAAATTCGAAAACTTAAGGAATCAGCACATATTCTAGGCCACAAAAATCTCCTGAGCCGACCAAGCATAGAAATAAATACAATATGGGAACCAGTAATAAGGAATGCCAGAGAAAAGCAATGATAGCAACATAGTTGCAATATGAGCTCTGGTAAAAAAATATGCAATGATAACAGCAAAATTGCAATATGAGCACTGGTAAAAATGGTTGCTGAAGACATTAGGTTTATAATACCCAGAATGTCTTCAAGGACACATGGCACAGTGGATAAAGGCGTTGGTTAGATCCAGTGACAGGACCCAAAGAGTGTGAGTTCAACACCCAGTTAAGGCAGTGGAGAACTTTCAGAGGGAAATTAACAGGAGATAACTGATAACTGACATCCATCCAACTCTACCCCGGTGAGCGAAATAAAGGGTTCAGTTCGATATTCCAACCACCTGAAGAAGGCCGGAGCGTACAACGGCTGAATAGTTGTGATAAATATGGCGACAAATTAACATTAACACGTCCCTTGACAAACGTCAACCGGTCGTTATTATTATTTCTACCTTTCTCCCTCACCTCTTTTATACTTGATAAACGAACGGAACATTTTAAGACTGAGCGATTACTTCAAAGACATTCCTACCCTACGATAACGCTCATACATACATACATACATACATACATACATCCACACATACGTTCCTACCTACGTACAGATGAACTCATTCTTGCAAGGATTACTACGAACATTTTGACGACCTTGTATCAACCAAAATACATTAATTTTATTTGTAAAGACCTTAATTGATTTTTATGTATATAAATTTGTTGTTTCACTTTACAGTTTGATTTTTTTGTTTTATACCACTCTTATCTAACTAACTAACAAGGACAAATCAAATTAATCTGTTTCAACACACATACACTTCACTATAACTAATAACCCACTATACTTTAATGAACCTATTTGACCGCATAAGGGGCATAAAGGCGATTCCGATATAGTCCATAGTTATAGGTTAACTGAGCTCGGGAGAAGGTCGTAAACTGCTCGGATTAGAAAGTTCATACCTATTTCGTTACGCCATAGTTCAGAGCATCTAACCTTCCTATGAATCATTGTTTCTCATTTTGTTCACGCTCCTTGTTGTTTTAACCCAGTCATCTTTGCTACTCTCATTTCCTCTTCCCCTGCAAGATTCGGTGTTTTTCTTTGTCTACGGCTTTGTCAATTCTGTGGGGGAAAAAAACAAGCCCAGCACGACGAGTGGCAACAGTACCCAGTACCACTTTTTCGCGAAGACGCTCTTCTGCCAGTTTCAGCTCCTTTACCGCGTTCCATTTCCTCCCAGTGTAGACTTCAATATTTGCTCTGCCACTTTTGGATCCTTGGAGAAATTATATTGTATTACTGTCGCACTTTAGCGACTTTGTATTCTTCTACAAGGCTTTTAAAGGGGAATTGAAGAGTATTGGAATTACCGTAAAGGGCAGCGCTGCTGAGACACTTTGGTAGACCTAGCCTAGTAAACGAGCTTTGATCATTTTTTTCTATCTGTTCTACAGAAGAAGTAGTGAACTCGTAGATGGACAACGGCCACAATATCTTGGGAAGAATAACATGCTGATAAATTCATGCTTTATATCGACCGGGTAAGCCAGACTTGTCTACTTTGTCTAACCATGCTTCTAGGATGTCATTTGTTTCCTGGATTGCCACAGAGCCCTCCAGGGTATTGTCAAAATGCTTACCCAAGTTCTTGATAGAGTTTTGCTTTATAGTCGGGATATATTCCCCGGACAATTTAAAACGATCCCTCTCTGATGTTTTTTCATTTTTTTTAACACGAGTGACCTTGATTTGGCAACATTGAAATTCATCCTCGCCCATAAAATAAGTTTCTCCAAACCTTTTAGTAGCCACCTCGCGCCAATCACAGACGAGGATGTTATGGTCATATCGTCTTATTGGAGGTTGCCGTTGACCAGATCTTGTTTAAAGGACCTCTGCATTCTATTTCCGCAGTTTTTATAAGCATATTCATGGCTAAGGAAAAGTGGTAGTCTGTTATAATGCCTCTTTCCAATCTATGCCATGCAGATATTGTGTTTCTTGCTGCTGTTCTCATTTTGAAATTATTATAATAGTTCACTATGGTCTCTATAATTTTGGCGGAAACATGATGGCGTTTTAAGGATTCTTCTACCAACTTATGTGGGATTGAGCCATAGGTGTTCTTAAGGTCCTGCCACAGGAAAGCCATATCGCTTTATGTGCTTTCACGTCTTTTAGCAGCTGCGTAATGACACTTGTGTGTTCCATGCACCGCAATATGCCTGGAACACCTCCTTTTTGAACAGAGGTGTCGATATGTTTATTATTTAAGAGAAAATCTGTTAAGCGTCGATTTAAAAGAGTAAAAAAATATTTTTCTTTCGACGTTCGGGAGATATATCTAAATTGATTTTCTGTACTTGCTCTTTCCTCTCTAGGGATCCATATGCCTCCTGAGCACCTCCATTGCACAGCTATCTTCCCTCTTCTTCAGACAATTTTTAGTAACCTCCATAACATACGGAGCGCATTGGGCCAGCATTTATAAACTGTTTAAGAGACTGTGTCGACGGCTGCAGGCCATTTGATCTTTTCCTGAAATGTCTTCGGGGGACACTTGTGCCTCTGCTTGGAAGAACTGGGCTCTGTGGTGAGCTTCTTGGCCCTGTATTTCCTGTGCCTCACCAGGAGTATTTCCTGTGCACTGCGTCTGGCTAGTTTCCATTTGACATTTCATTTTGGCTTGATGGATTTTTAGGTCGCGTATATTCTTGCATTTTTTTCCTGCATGAGCATGTCATAATCATCGTCCGTGAGTGTGATGCTTGGTTCTTCTCCGGTTGGTCCGTCCTAATAGGGATCTCTTTTTCCTCCCATCTCGGGATCCCTTGGGGGTGTTTATTATTTTGTGTGTCTGTAGCAAAAGTTTGATCTGCATACCAGGTAGCTAGCCAGAAATGCTTTAATTTGTGGTCTCTCCTCACCGTCAATTGACTTTCCAATTTGTCATCTAGTCTATTCCTAGTAGTCACCCGGCCTTTCCCAGACGTCACTGTTTTAACAAGAGAAAAATTACTCTGAATATACGCTCTTCAGCGCTAGAGGGCGTCGTCAATGATGTTCTGAATTGGATCATTAGGCAGGTTCGGGTCTTTCAAACATCATACTCCCCTCACCAAGTCGACCCCATCAGAGCTGATCAGTCTCTGATACGCCCCATGCTAAATTAACAGCCTGCAGACACTGACTTATATTAAGCAAACCATAACCCGTATCACGCATTTGATTGGAAGTTGACCAACAGCCAATCGCAATAGTGTGAGCACTATTTAAGTTGTTTACGGGGGATTTTTTTTTGTGGATACTCATCGGATACTCGGAAGGTAATTATGTGTTTCCGGGGTTTTTTTTCATCCCCCCTCAAGTTTCATCTCGCTAGCTGATAATTACTGTTATTAAAAAAAAAAAAAGCAACCATAAAATAATTAGAAATTTACATTGTTTTTACGATTAAAATAAATAAATTACGACTTATGCAGCATGTTAGTTAAAACGAAAATAAATATATAAATAAATGTCGTTTAAAACAAGTTGAAAGAAGTAAACTTAGAGAATTCGATTAAATCTATCGATTAACGTGAATAAATTAACGTATGAGATTTAACAAATAAAATTACATTTTTAACTTTTCCAGAAATATTTACGCTTTTCAATCATTAATTAACATCATACTAAAAAAAATAATTTCAAAATATCAACAATAAACAAACACTACTGACTTTTTTAAGCAGAAGAAAATTGAAATTGTAGTGTAAAACCAGCGATGTAGATTACCCTAAAAGACTCAATTCGGGAGTAATGGCTCCATAGCTTAAAATCTAGCTTTCTTCAGTACAAGATACTGTGTTAGCGAGGATGGTAACAATACAAGTTCAGTCTTTTTTTAGTTGATTCATGATTATAAATTTTTACATTTTCTATTTAGAAGCAACATTATCATATTTATTTATTTTTCGGGTATAGGCGAAGAAGGTTAAGAAAAAAGGAGGTGTATACAATAAACAAAGACGGGTAAACCGTAAAGATGTACATAAACGCAAAGAGAAATGAAAGTTTTTTTACATACAAGTTCGGGGACCCACTCCTACGCAAAATGAGTATATCACGCTAAAGCGGAAAATATACCATCAGCTTTAGAGGGTAACTGTCCACTCTTAGGAGAAAACAGAAAGTCAATTCAGTCTTAGTTTTTCTTAGCACAGCACAGAACAAACAATAAAAGACATTTAATCTGAACTAGCCCACTGTTTTAATATGAACAGAAAGTCCTTTTTAAACTTCTCAACAACTTTTCTCTTTCAATGCTGTTCCTGTCACTGTGCACATGTTGTTCTCTCTCTCTCTCTCTCTTTCTTGGCGTAACTGTTACTCTCATCCTGCTCTACCAACTCTGTGATTCATGGATTTCAATCTTCTGGCTGTCGTTTCCATTTAGTAGACTGTTTCCACTGACTTCCATTGATTGACTGACACCACCTCCATCACCACGCGAACCCTCCTATTTTCAATCCACAATCTTCTTGATTCCCTAGTCGCTCCGTTTCTCGGACACATGTCACTTCTGGCTTCTGAATTTGAGCTCCATAGTCTCACTTTCGAGGAAGTGATCTTATCAACTCCTGCCTGGTATAATAATTGAATACATTGACTACAAAGTAATAAACTGGTTGATTTGTTTTTGTTGATTTTTTTTTTTTGCACCTTTGCTATACTTGATCATTTCCACATGTTTTTTTTATTAAAAATAAAGCAACCAAGAAGTAAAGAGATGCGTGCAACTTTACATCTTTGTCTGACTGTTAGTGTTAACTTGGTTTCTCTGTTTTTATGTATGTGTGACTTTCATATTCTTTGAAAACTGTGTACACAGTGTACAGTACAGTACACCAATGCCACAGAATAATCAAATGATGCAGCTAAAAATAATTATCATTTTTACTTTGTAAAGCATTACAGTTTAGTTATGCATTTAAAATGTTTTCATTTGTGTTGAATTTGTATGTTTTATTTACTTTTATTTTTGAGTTTTGAATTAACTCAATTGACCACCCCTTCGCGTCACGGTTTGCAGGTCTGACAGCCAACGAGAACAAAAACATGCTCATAGCTCATCAAAGTGCCCCCCCCCCCGCCAATCACATTTTTTATTGTCCAGTTGCAACAGACATTCTTATTGGCATTCCAGAGATGTTTTTTTTTTTTAAATTGTTTCCCACTAATCTCTTCTTCGTTCATAAGTGAGAACCAGCTAGCCACAAATAGTCATTTTTATTAGGTTAAAATGACAATGACTTACCGTACTTTTACTTTTTTTCATAGAGAGTGAGAGGCAGACAACTAGACAACAGACAGATCATGTGCACGTGTAATAAAGCCAGTTCATACAACCGAATCTATTATTCAGTATTTATTAGCTAGCCCACACAATAAATGGTTCTGAAATAGATAATGGAACGACCGTAGCAAACTCTTGGCTCAAAGAAAGGGGGTGTGGTTAAGATTTATCTTTACTGCTGTCGCTGCACGTCACACCCGGTGACTAAATTTTCCTTTTACTGAACACTCATTGGTCAATCCAATCTCTTTTTTCAAATTAGTGTAAGACTACTTTCACTTTAAGAGTTTTGACGAAGTAGACAACCGACACAGTAGCTAAAAAAAAAGCCGTACGACACGCAACTAGTTAATGATCATTTTTTTGTAAACTTTAAAAGATGTCAGATATCTTACGAAAACTACCAAAATTCCGACTGAGTTTTTTTTCCCTAGTTTTATATTTTTTATTAATGTTCCATGTTGCCCAGACTTTACGCATTGGTGCGTTCAACATTCGAGCCTTTGGGAGAAATAAAATGAAAAAAAATGACGTGATGAAGATTTTATTAAAGGTAAGTGGAGGCATTATTTTTTTTTAACAAGTGCTTTTTAGGCGAAGGTTTGGTCAGCATTGAAAACGTAATTCTAAAAACTTTTTCAAAAACTGAAAAAGTATCTTTTGAAAACATTTTTTCTATAAAAAGAGCGCATTTGCACATACTTTTTTTTTTTTTACTAGAAGAGTTCTTTTTACAGTATACTGAATTTATTTTTCAATTTACAACATAAAGGATATCATTTAAATATGGTACTTTTTGGACTGAACGTTTATTTTTAAAACTTTACATCACAATATTTTTATTTCATCCATTTTCTAGGATTTTACTTTTTTCTATTAAAAAACATTTCAATTTTTTTAAAAATATGTCATCATTTAATAATAATATTTTTAGGAATTTCGTTATAATGTAAGTGTTGGAAAACTTTTTAAACATTTAAGATTATATAACTTAATTTTTAACTTGCTAACATTGCCTGCTTTCCACATCTATTTCTACGTATGAAACTTTTTAATTTTTATTAATGTGCCGTACTATTTTTTATTCTTTTCTTTTACTATTTCAAAATGAGAATTTACTTAACTTTTTCACATATATTTATAAATAATTTAGATGATTAAATCTATAGAAATGTTTAATTTCTGAATTAAATGTGATGCTGTTGTCATAATAAATTTTGACAAAGAGAATTTATTTTTCTCTTGGTATCTTCACCGCACAGAAATTAGAAAACCAATCACATTGATTCTTATTCATCAATATGTGCTACAGAATTGTAAAAACCTTTATACTGTAAAGAAAAAAATGTCTCTTGTCTCTTTTCTCTTGGTACCAAGCTGCCAGCCATTATAAGAATAAATACATACACACACACACACACACACAAACGCATGTTAATAAGTATGTTGTTTAAAATCGGCTACATTTATGGAGAGATAGAGAGAGAGTGCTCACTGCCTTTTATAGACAGTGTGGACATAGAAATCATAACTGTATACAATTAACATGCTCATGGTCAATTAAGGCATGAAACTTTTTGTCATTAGTGTTCATTTATGTACAGACTGTTTACACTCACTGGCCACTTTCTTAGGCATACTCTTTTAGTTGACCCCACCCTCTCTGTTTTGCCTTTAGAGAATCTGCCACTATTGTTAATGTTTGTGACACAGTGTTTTGTTCTGCTGGGAGAAGTCACCAATGGATGAATGCTCATTAGTCAGAAATTGATGTACATTGTTAGGCACAATAGATTTTTTTTTAATATAAAATGCAAGAAATAGATCTTTATGAAAACATGGAAAATTACAATATTTTTAAAATTCATAAAGTTTTCTGGATATAGTTGATCAAAATTGCTTAAAAATATATTTTTTGTTATAATTTTCCACAAGGATTTTTCAAAATTACTTAAATATATTTTTTAATAATTTAGTCAAGTATTTTTCTTATCTTTAAAATGTGGCTTTTATAGATGATATGTCAGTGTTTAGTGATCCAGCTAAGCAGACAAGATTCTAAATGCTAAATTATATTCTTTTAATCAAGATAGGTAAGCCATTCTAACTTGCAGGACCACAAACTTCTTACAACCATTTGACTTTCGTTTACAAACACACAAATTTGATTTCAACTTTACTAATTTAAAAAAAACTGACTTTTTTGCATAGTTTGAAGACTTGCCTTTTATTTAGATTGTTTAATCTAATTGCCAGCAAGTTTTGACAACATAAATTTCTTTGTTGCTAATGAGGGAACAAAGAAGTAAAAAATTGTGGGAAAAAGAAAAAGAGGCAAAAAGAGTGAATCAATTTTCATCCAGAAGATTTCTGCTAACATCCTTTTTTTTTTACACTAAAATATAAATTCACATTGTATATTCATCCTATACATATACCCTGAATTTTTACTCATATCACTTTGTTAAAACTAATTTTATTGAGAAAAAATTTGACCTGCTTAATAAAATCTGACATAAAGAATAATTGTTTTTTCTAATTATTTATTTCTAATGAAAATTCAAAACTTTTTAATTTCACTTTTGTAGATATTAATTTCAGTTATAGATAATTTTTTGAGTGGAGTATTTTTTCCTTTTATATCCACTAAGTAACATTTTTCTTGTAAAAGACCTATAAATGAAGTAAGTTTTCTGAATTTGCTTAATAACAAATTACTTACATCTGTGCAATTATCAGCTTATAGCAAATAACATAAAAATTTGAATGAGTTTCAAGCTTAATATATTTATCTTTTTAAGATATTCTGAGCTTGTATCACTTATTAGAAAAGCTTGCTTGAAAAAAAAAACGGAGCTTCTTTAAGGATTTAGTTACCTTATTCTGTTGAAATCTATTTGCTTAATCTCAAAACTCATTAAAGGAGTGGGATGTGTAAAAAAAAAAAATATCAGAATATTTTAAACCTCTTTTAATGTAACCTTTCCCTCATTCTCTCTCTCTCCCCCCACACCCAACTTATCAACAGAGGTACAGTTATTAGGCAAAACAAGCAAATGAAGTATGAGTAAAGATTTTTTAAGGTTTCCCCAGCTCTTGCATATTCAAAAACATGAAATTTGTCATTTTTCTAAAATACACTAAAAGTAGAAATACAAATGAGTTCCATTTCAAAAGCCTGGTCAGTGAAGCTCATTGCTAAACTCCAAAATGATTGACTTCAAATCAGGAGAAAGATTGGTCTAATATTCATAGGATTTTTTTTAATTATATTTCAAATTATATTTCCAAATAAATAGATTAAATATGAACATGATGCTACAGTATTAATTTCTTAATAACATTTTATTTATTTATTTGTCATTTCTTAACTTTTTGTCCATGAGATATTCAAATCAAAGTTGTTTCTATATTTAATCTAGCTTATTAAAGTGTAAATTTACAATGTTTTATAACTGTATTTATCATTTTAAATGATGTTTCATTGTTTCAGATTGTGAAAGTGGTGATAGTTTAGACTATTAAGTTTACACAAAGTCCAGTAATTGTGTTGATGGGAAGACTAAATTAAACTTGCACAAAAGGATTATATTAAAAAAATGCATAAAAACTATTTATGCTTGATTTAGTACTTTGAATGGTTATTGATTTTTTAAAAGGAAGAATATGGCACATTCCTTTTAGTATCATTAATATTGTTTAATCATTTAATCTATGGCTATATGAAGTTTCTAAATTTTCCTAAACTAATGTTTAGGAAAATATAGAAACTTAGGATGGTTAGGTAAATTGTTTCATAGTTTTATCACCTTACATTTTTATTTTCAGTTTTATTCTTTGTTCATTAAGATTTCTGGTAAAATGAATAAAATCCAACAAATAAGATAAGTTTCATTTTATTTGATCATGATGAACAATGTTGTTAACTAAGAGATTATCAGTCCAAATGATTATTGTTATTTACTAAGCAGGGCTTAATACTGATACAGTCTACAAATATGAGGTAGACACTCAGTGAAGATTGAACTCATTTATCAGTAATTGATATGCAAATACAATACGTTAACTATGATGCTATGGAAAGGTGCCTGATCAAATAATGTTGATTATATGTATTGATCATATCCATATAAACCCTTACAATATTACAAATATCAAAGAAAGGTTATGACAAATATGATGAATGCTATTAACAGAAAACGATAAGATAATAACAAGGAATTATGATATATGATATGAAATATTGCTTTTCAAAACAAAAATTGATTTATAAATTTTTATATATTTAGAATATTATTCTTTGAGTAGTTATTCAGTTGCCAAGAACAAAATATGTATTTTGAATTAACTAATCATCTCTATATTAATGTAGTTTTTGTTAAATTAGTTTTTAATGGAGTTGCATATTGATGCAGGTCTATATGTTCTCTTTCATTTGGTGCAAAATGCCTGACAGTATTTCAGTTAAATATTTTTAGTTAAATATAAGTCAGCCATTAAGAGTATTTAGAAAATTCAACACTTTAATACTTTACAGTTAAACATGTAAAATAGAAATACTGCTTTCAAGATAAATATTTTGTAACATAAAAATACAGATATGGACTTGAAGTGTTTTAAAGATAGGAAGCCATGAAAATGCATACTTTTTCATTATTTTTCTCATACAAAGAAAGAACACCATTTAGTCATAAGTGGAAAGCTGAAATTCTTGCATATTCTTTGACAAAATCTTTACATGTTTGATAGAAGTGGACTTTTCAGCTTTTTCTTTTAAACTTTATTTTTGTTTAATGTGAAATACAGTAATTGACACTTCTAACAAAACCTTTAGAGATTTTTTTTTACAAGGGCGTGTATATGAAATTAATACATTCACTCTTAATTTCCATAACTTCCTTTTTTATCAAAATAGGAAATTCTTTTCTCTGGGGAAATTCATTTAAAGAAATAATTATTTATAACCCAATAATTAAAAGCATTTTCCCATTATATTGCTATTTGTCAGTTTAACTGTTTGCATTTATTATTATAAAAGCAGTAGAAAGCTAAATCATCTGGCTTCATTCAAGAAACTATTCATTCCAATTTCTTCTCACGGACATTTTCTATCTGCGACCAATTTCTGGAGAACTTTTCTCACTAGGGTTCAACATCCAGCAACTAAAATAATCCATCAGTCATTTTTAAACATTTTTCTTACTAACCCCAAGAGGGAAACACCCATTCTTAATATATTTAATGCTGTAGATAATGTTTTGTTTATTTAAAATAAATCTTTAAAATTCTTGTTGCTTTTCAGCCCTTGGAATTCAGGGTAAGACTGCTTGGTTAGATAAACATCTGAATTAGAATTTGTTTTTATATTTTAAAGACATTAACTATGATTTGTAAAGATTCAAATTTTAATTGAAAATTTTTTTTTTTTTTGCATTAATGATATGTGTTTATATATATATATATATATCAGGTCATCCCATAAGTTCTGTCCAAATTTTGAATAAAGAAAACAAGTGACCAATGTTACATTTAATTACAGATTCAATCAGCAAT